GGCACCTTTATGATGTGAATGTTGGAATGCTTTAAGTTGTCCCAGGGGCTCCTCACACTATCCTCATTTGGCGGGGGGGGTTCTTTTTCCTCTTGTTCTGATTGGTTGTTTTTTACTTCCTTATGTTCCAAATCATTGATCTGATTCTCAGTTTTGTCCACTCTACTGTTGTTTCCCTGTAAATTGTTCTTTATTTCAATTAGTGTATCCTTCATTTCTGACTGGATCTTTTCTATGCTGCTGAGGTCCTCACTAAGTTCCTTAAGCATCCTTATCACTAGTGTTTGAACTCTGCATCTGATAGGTTGCTTATCTCCATTTTGTTTAGTTCTTTTTCTGGAGTTTTGATCTGTTCTTTCATTTGGGCCATGTTTCTTTATCTCCTCATTTTGGCAGCCTCCCTGTGCTTGTTTCTGTGTATTGGGTAGATCTGCTATAACTTCCTGTCTTGGTAGCATGGCCTAATGTAATATGTCCTGTAGAGTTCTGTGGCACAGCCTCCTCTTTCACCCAGGCTAGATATTCAAGGTGCACCCTTCATGTGGACTGAGTAAACCCTCCTCTTGTAGTGGGGCCTTGATCGCTGTTGACAGGCCAAGGGGAGGGATTTACCCAGGCCAGTCAGCTGCAAGGACTGGCTGTGACCACTGACCACCAACTTCTACCCTTCATGGAGGATCAGCTGTACAGGGGCTGGGTTGTGGTGATCCCATGTGGTCCATAGCTGTCCACTGGATTCAAAGGCTCTGGAGTTCCCCAGAAAATGTAGGCCAGCGTCAGCCACCACCTGTGTTCTGCTTAGGGCTGCCCAGCATGAGCTACCAAGCAATCTGCAAGTAGCTGTTACTTGTGCTGGGTTTGGAGGCTCCCATGAGAATGCTCTCCATATCCAGATCACAGTCAAACTGTGATCTAAATTTGGCTGATGCTAGTGCCAGTAGTAGGGCCAGTTAGCCAGAGGTGTGGTGCTGGGTTCTCACTGAGGCTAGCTGTTGTTTGCTTGAGAAGATTTAGGAAGATGTGAAGCCTGAGCTGAGACCAGCCATTAATATGGAAAAGCCACTGTTAACAGCTTGGGTAAGCCCATGAGTTTGGTGGGGTGGAGACTGGTGGATTCATCAGTGCAGAGCCAACCATGTAAGCCAGGTTAATGGAGTCTCAGATACGGCTTCCACCTTCTGGCTCTGTGGCTCAGAAAAGGAGCAATGGCCTTTAACCACCTTTGTGTCTTAGAGAAAGCTGTCCCCCAACTCTTGCCTTAATGCCAGGCACTTTGTTCCTCCCCATATGACACTGGTGCCTTTCAAGCAGCCACCTCAGTGCTGGAGCTCAGAGGGGATAAGTCTGAGTAAGTCCGTGTGCAGCCCTTTTAAGAGGTGCTGCTTGGAATTCCAGTAGTTACTTTCTTCAACTCCAACCCCACTGGTTTTCATGGCCAGAAGTTATGGGGACTCATCTCTATGGCACTTGTAACCTTGGGCTGGGGCCCTGGTGCTGGGCTGGGACTCCTCACACCTGAGATATCCCTCCACCTGAATTTTTATCCCTGAATTTTTATCCACCACCTGGGGGTGTGCAACCCGCCTGTTCCATGTATCCATGTCTTCTGCCTGGATAGATGTGGTTTCTTTAGTTTTGTAGTTGTCAGACTTTCATTCAACTTGAGTTCTGACAGTTCTGGGTAATGGTTGTTCTACAGTTTAGTTGTAATTTTGATGTGGTTGTACCAGGAAGTGATCCATGTTTACCTATGCCTCCATCTTGCCTGAAAGTCTAAATACAATAAAGTTTTAAGTAGGCAAATTCCAACATGATTTGGCTCTTCTGGCTCATAGTCACTTTCAGGATGGTGTGTAGGCCCTGGTCTAACAGTACAATACTTGACAGTGGTTCTCAGTTTGAAGTGATTCTGTCCCTCAGAGGACATCTGTAAATGTCTGGAGACACTTTTGGCTGTCACAGCTGGGGAGGTGCTACTGGCATCGTGGATAAAGGCTGCGTATGCTGCTAAACATGCTACTACACACAGGACAAAAAATTATGCAGCTCATAGTGTCTATAGTGCCAGGGTTGAGAAATCCTGTATAGATAACTAAAATAAGGTAGAATTATACCCACTGTCCTCATGTGTAAATTAGCATCAGGAGTGAGCATCTGAAAAACCTGTGATGTCCCAGGTTTATGCCAAGTTCTGGACACTTTGTAAATCTCCCAAACATACGACTGTCATCTTGCAATGATTGAAGAGAAAACCGGGATTCCACAAGTGGCAGTGGAAACAGGGTAGGTTTAAAGTCGACATACACTTAATCCTCAGCAAAAGTGGTCTTGTCTCAAGTAGCAGCGGATCAGTGTGCAAGAAGAACTAGAAGCATTTTGGATCCACGGTTGTCTTAGATCTTTTGACAACTTCAACTGAGTTAAATAAAAATAGTATGTATTTAGGTAGGTTTAAACTGCTTTTTATCTCTAATTTTTAGGATCTAAAATTTGATAACAAGTGTTGCACTGAAAGGAAAGGAGACACAGACTACAGGCAGCTCCCCATCCACGCTTTCCCTGCCCTCCGCCCTCCCCATTTTCTCACTCGGCGCACTATTCGTTCAATGATGGAGTTAAACAAGCTAGAGAGCACACTGTAAATGCAGAGGGGATATTTTTGGTAGAATTAACTTCTTAGTAATAAAAACAAAAAGAAAAAAGCACAAAGATTTTTAAGAAGCATAAAGAGGAATAGTGAAACCATTTGTAAAATTATGTCAACACCAAAATATTGTTCTCCTGTGACAAGGAGCTTTGGCGCATGAGTAGATGACAATAAGTTGTCATGTCTGGAAGGTCTATGAGAGGACACTGTAACCTAGAAAGGGAGCCACTGCTAGGACAGAACTCAGCTGCTGAAACTTTAATGCATGTAAAGATCTATTTAAGCAGAAAGGCAAGTAGAAATGCTTAGTTTCTTCTAGCAAGGGAATCCAGAAATCACCATCAGAGTAAGAAAATCATTGCATGCTACTTCTTGGTTCCTTAAGGACTTTTTTGAGCCTTAAGTACTAAACAATTGCATAAATTAAAAATAAACATAAACTTTTCTTATTTCTTACTGTGCACCTGGAGTTCTGAGTGGGAATTAACTATAAGATTTCTCCATCTTTCTCAATCTTAAGCTGCAGCGTGGCTTCCTTTAGGGTGGGTTGAAATGGAGATATATAAAGGAGCAATTAAAAAAAAAATTCCAAACATATACACAAAAAAATCCATCATGAATACACTGAGCTATGATGCCTCCCAGACAATCTTTGGTTATTTAATAGTTCAAGAAAGAAAACTAAGTATTGCCAGGTTATTTGCTAGCCAAAGGCATATAAGTAAAGGACACTAACTATAAAATACAATATAATGGAATTCAACAAGTGACCTACTTTAAATAGCTCACAAAAAATCACTTGTGTGAAAGGTCAAAGAGAAGTACTATTTCAGCATTACAGACTTCTTCTGGGTTAAAGAATGACAGTAAAATTAACTACATGTGTGAGGTTGCTATAATTATTCTAGAAGATTCCCCTTCCTCATGTTATAAATAATACATTTTCCAAGGGGAAAAATGCTGTATGTGATGGGTAGTTCTTCTGATAGACCCCTGACGTTCACACGGCTGAATGTTTCAGTGCTTGGTCGTTCTGGCTTACAAAATCAGGAATTGGCTTCAATCTCTAAGGTATTGTCTGGCTGCAACACTTGATTTTCAAACTCTGATTTTAATAGGACTAAACAAATTTACATTGCTTCTGTGGAAACATTTTAAAATAATAACAACAGACACATTTTTGTTTTGTCTCCACAATATCCCTAGATTAAAGTTTCAATGAGATGCTTTGGGGGTCGCAGGCATGGGTAGAGGTGTATATGACATAAATACAAAACAAATTATGTTTAATGTTCATGTTAACATAGGTGTGTGTCTAAGACAGTGAAAAGATACTAGTGAATTCATTAACTAAAATCCAATGAACTCTTTCCAAAATTTTAAGTCCCATTTGTTTTTCAAATTAAACTATATTCATTAAAATGAGACAATCCCTCGTGAGAATTCTCATTCTGGATACCAATCAGCCTGAAAGTGTACCCTTGCTTGGAATTTAATTTTGCTTTATTATTAGTAATTCATGCTTAAGGAAGTTCACTGAGTGTGTGTTCTTGGCAGGTGTGTGCCAGAATTCCTGCCCAGATGCTGATGTTTGATGAACGGTCAGGAAAAAGAAGTATGTGTCAGTTTAACAATTTTGAAAACTAACTGTAAGGCCTTTTTTAAGCCATTTTTATTCTACCACATACACTAAAGGAAAATAATTTCTTCTAAAAATATGTTTCCTATTTTTATTATATAAATGAATTCAGTGATGCACTGCTGAAGAATTTCTATGCACTACGTGCTCTCCTGGACTGTGATACAACCAATAAAATTTCTTTGTTGGTAATTCAAAATGCAAATCTCTGGAGGGATACCCTCCCTGGAGCCCACCCACATGATCTCATGTCACGTTTCTCAAGCTGCTGAGTCGAAGATACTCCTTCCATGAGGCCAAAGCAATCTTCAGTTCCCCAGAACAATAAGCACTTTAAAAATTACAGTCATGCTTCTCTCCAGCATTAGAGGGGTTCGGATCTGCTCCACAGAACTCCTTGCTCCTCAACAGAAGAGCACTTCCAATTACCGGCACCTGAAAATATCTAAGTCTTCTTTCATTTAAAATTCAACTGCGTAGAAAGTTGTGAAAGTGGTTTCGCACACAGTACCAATGATGACCTCCAATTTGCTAGACTGAAACCACCCTTCAGCAGGTAGCTACTCAAATAATATTCTTCTAGAAATTCTAAAATGTCCATGAGAACTCTCTTATTTAAGGATAAAATGAAGTATTTTAAGATTAAGTAAAAATAATTAAGATGCAACTAGACTCTAACTGACCAACAGATTTTCCGTGTTAGCCCACACTCACCTCTCCCGAGGGACAGCAAACCAGTACTCGGGCTGTTTCCTTCGCTTGCCGTACTGCTGGACCATGGCTGCAGAGTGAGTGGCGAAGGATTTTCTCATTGGTTTTCCCACTTTAATGCACAGAAACATGGGTGGAGTCTTGCTTTTCTCTTCTTTTGAAGGAAGTATATCTGAATCACATATGCAAAATATCTTCAATAGTGACAATATTGGTGACAGTAAAACCTTTCAGCTTACCAAGAACAGTGTTTAATCCCTTCTCAGTGATGAGAAGTCAAAACATATGGCAGAAACATCATACACCATCATCACGTTGGGACTAATTACACTTTTCAGACCTTCTAGAACACAAAAGGAGAAAGCTTGGGACATTTCAGATTGGTCTCCATCACATGAGAGGCTACGAATTATGAACAAGCATAAAAACCAGAAAATACCAAACAGTGGGAAATTGTGACAAGCTACAAGAATACTCTTAATGAATGATATGGAGGACCCAATCACACCATAATGTAACAGGTTAGAACTGAAATGTCTTCAAAACATATTTGAAACTCTTTTAGATTTAGAAATTCAAGGTAAAAAAGGAGAGTTACTTAAAAGATGAAAAGATTTTTTTTTAAAAAATCTATGCCATCTGAAGTTTCAAATTAGATACCATATATTGCTAGTATTTTCCAATTATTAACATATAAGTAAAGACATGCTCTATTGAGAAAATATTGTTCTCAAACGATCGTACTAGTTGTGCTATCACATGTGCACGTTTAAGAAGGGTGACCATACCACAGAAGATAAAGACATTGAAGCAAAGTGGCTTACCTTCAATGGGCACCTGAATTCTCTTCAACAGCCACAACTGGATTTCAGATTTATTATCCACTTGTGCGCCTTGACAGCTATTGTCCAGAGCAGATCCCAAAGAGTCGTCTAGAGGCTCTTTACTCGTATTTTCTTCTGTAGAAGAGCCTAGTTGCAGGGGATGGGGTGTTTTTTCTTTCACCCAGTTTTTATCGGGGTCTTTATTGCCCTCAGCTGGGGGCTCAACAGCCTGGGGAAGAGAACTACTAAGGGTGATATCTATTCCTGCTGGCTCGATACTTTTGCTATCACTTAATTCTGTCTCCTGCAAGTTATCCGATAACTGTGACCCTTCTTTGTTTTTATTAAGATAGTATTCAATAAGTTTAACCTTATCTAGATCTTCATGTATGTTCAGTGTGTTTTCCATCTGGCTTTCTGGAGAGCCAGACTGCTTGTCCACCTCCGGCATTTCATCTTGCTTCTCACAGGTTTCTAAATCTAGGGCCCCCTTCAGTTCAGCATCACTCTCTGTTCTTGAAAAGTCCGGGGCTGACTGCACCTGCATTTCCATAACAGAACTGATTTGTGCCTTAGCCTTCTTTTGCTCCTCTGGGTCAAGAGAAAGGCACTCCTTTGAGGTGTCTCTTTTGTCCATTCTGCTATCATTTTGAGAAGGAAGTTCTTCCAAGTCAACAAAGTCATCTTCTCCTCCTAAAAGGGAATTTTCTTTGGCTATAGATTTAAACACAGTATGAGTGCCAGGAGGTCCTTTGCTGACCTCGGTTGCTGTGGTAGATACACTGGTGGCCTCCACAGAGGATTCCAGGTCCTTTAACTTTCCTGACACCAAGCTGTCCGAGGGCTTCGTATGTGTGTGTTCTGTTGATTTCTCCAAAGGCTGTGTTGATTTGGAATCTGAAGTGATAGTTCTCTCTTCACTCGGCTGCCGTTTATCCTTGCTGAGAGATTTGAACTTACTAAACGGGTTGATATCCTTTTCTGAAGCTAGGTCTTCCCATTCTCCAGGCCTGTACAGAGGACAAAGATCCTGAGGTAGGTCACTGTTGAGGGAAAAATGGTGGGTGCACATGGAATGTTAAAAACAAAACCAAAAACAAAATGGAGGAAAAGCAAAAACCAAAACAAAATCAAGCCAAAAACCAAAACATAAATATGCCACAACTTAAATTAACGGGTAAATGATTTCAGAATAAGAAAATTAAATTTAAAAATTAACTTCAAAATGAAACATAAATCAACCAGAAGTGGCAAAACAAAGAACCGCGAAAGCTGCACATCCTGCTAGGAGACATGGATGGTGTTTGCAGTCATTTATGAACACAGAGCTGTCACTACCAGCTTTTAGTGATGAAATGATGTTGTGATTTTCATGAAGGAAAAGACAAAGCAGAGGAAACATCTTAGTACTATGACTAAAATTCCTTAGATATGAAAAGCTTTTTTTTTTTTAATAATGTAGTACAGAAACCAACTACCGGTAATTAATTCTGAATGACTCATAGATTTAGTAGCTACACATTTAAGTGACTGGCCCTGAACCCTAGTTTCAGGTTTCATGACTTAGGATCTAATGCTTCCAATGAGCAACATCCTTCTATTCCCCAGAGAGCAAGAAGAAGCTTCCATTACTACTGGAACAGCATATACTGCCTATTCCATTTTATAACTTAAAAATTTATAGAGATGTAAATCAAAGAAGCTCTTATAATACCTAAATTTCTTAACTCTTTCATTTTATAACAGTTATCATTTTACTTTATGGCAACGGGCAACTGGTTTTATCTGCTAAAACTTCCTGACCTGGGCTGCAGTCAATTTTTTCTTTACTACTCATATTTGAGTTATATAAAAATACTGACTAAATATGTTCTCCCAAATTTAAGATAGTCAAAAAACATATGTCTTAAACCAAGACTGGAAATATCTGGAGTAATCCATGTTTTCACTTTCCTTAGCATTCACACTGGGTTAAAAACAGAGACAGAAAAACCCTTTTTGAAAATAACATTTTCAGATTTCAGAAATACTTTTTTTTTTCTAAAAAGGCTTGATCATATCCTAGATTCAAATGAATTAGTGTAATTTGGCATAAATTCCATGTTAGGGCCCAAAATTTAATTTGGCACATAAAGGTTATAAAAGGCCTGCAACAAAGAAACCTAACTTTTCACATATTTGGTTAATAAGGAATACTTTCTTCCATGAACATCCAAACCCCTTTCTCATCACTTCCTTATCTACTTAGCTCGACCCTCAGAAGGAATACATTTGCCTCTAATCAGCCTCCTGTATTGCCTTCTTGTCTACCTCTCCCTCCTTGTTTTTCATTCCAATCCAAGCTGAGGTTAATTTAGTCATCTGCTTTTTCTGCACTGCAGCTGCCAAGCACTGCTGGGGCAAAGTACATAGTTGTGTCAACCGAATCTGCTGCTGATGAATGTTTTCTGGACTCAGCCAGGCAGCTAATGATGATCAATAATCCTTTCAGTTGTTCCCTGCCTATTTTCTGTGGCAGCTGCAGTTATAAAATGTCCTACACAAAAAATACAAAGCTTGAAGTTGAAGATGGAGAGATTTTATACACACACACACAATTTGCACATGGCAGCTAGATAATCTATAGTTCTTATTTTCCCATATAATTTTTAGTAATAATAACATGTTAATCAATTTTCAATTTTTAAACAAGTGATGAAATTCTGAAGTCAATAATACTAAGTGCATTTCACACTGATTGCACTCATATAATTTGTTCTGCTCACTGGTGCATATGTTGTTCATTAGACTGAAAAGTCTTTATATACCTGTGTCAAAAGCAGGAATCAGTGCATGGGTCTGAAATAATTTCATCACATTAGTAGCCAGTTAGTTCTTAACTCTTCCGTCTCTCCCAGGTATGCCATTAGCCCTGTATCCCAGATCATTAAACACAATCTCACAATGAGAGAAATCTTTCTGTAAAGATGTATCTTCCCTTTCTATTATTAAAAAGGATACTTAACATCCTAAACTGAAGACACACAATAGTATTATTCCATTAGAACTCGTCACGAGGCAAGAAACGCCCTTATTTGCCTGATCATGCACTGCCACCCTCAACTATATCTTTACCTATTATCTTCTTTCCTCTTTCCACAGAGAACACAATGTTCATTCTTTCTTTCCAAAAGTAATTCCTCACTGCCTCTTCTCTGCCTCCATCAAAGACTCCAAGGCAGTAGGACACTCCTTCATTTGGTTCTCATGGAATGCTATGGACACTTCTGTGTGTACAGGGCCTTCGACTGACTGCTTCTGTCCACCTGTCTGTTGTACCCAGCAGACTGCAGGCTCCTCAAGGGGAAGCCCAGGACCCACTCCTCTTCATACACTAAGATGCATTAGAAGCCTCGATCCGCAAGGATTACAAGACTTCCATGACACTGAACAGAGTTTCAGATATGAATTAAAGGTTTACACAATAACAGCCTACCCCTATTAGATATCAGGCTATTTTCTAAGAGTTTTGGTATATCAATGCACTTAGTTCTTACAGTAGCGCTATATAAGCTGAATAATACTATTCATTCCATTTTGCAATGAGAAGACTCAGGTTTGAGATTAACTCATGCAGGTCATGAAGCCATAAGTGGCAGAGCTGGAGAAACCCATGAGTGTGGCTCCGGACCTAATCATTGCACAGGACTATCTCCTAAACCTCTCACTTCCAGCGGAGTTTAGAAACTGTGTCAGTACCCATGTTTAGTGCTAGCTTCAGTGGCTTGGAGTTGGGTAAGGGCCAAGTAGATCAGATACTGAGGACTATAACAGTCCAGGGGAACCTCCTGGGATAAACCCCAAGAACTTTGTGGTTCCCTAGTTACTTCCCTAGTTACCTTCCCTCCTTTTCATGAGTTCCAAGGAGCAGGTTCCCTTTCCACAGCTTTACCTCACTACCTTCCTATCACTAAGGGTTTCTAAAGATTTCCTACTACAGTATATATAGAAACAGGCAAATTAACAAAATGACAGTAAGAACCAGATTATTCCTACAAGGAAATCAATTCCCTGATCTTTCTTAACCCTCTTCTCATTCTTCATGGGGAAATTCCTTTAAAAAAAAAACTAACTTACCTAACTTACTAACTAACTCAGTTTTGTTTTTAGATTTTATTTATTTGTTTTTAGAGAGGGAAGGGAGGGAGAAAGAGAGAGAAACATCAATGTGTGGTTGCTGGGGGTCATGACCTGCAACCCAGGCATGTACCCTGACTGGGAATCCAACCTGCGACACTTTGGTTCGCAGCCCACACTCAATCCACTGAGCTACGCCAGCCAGGGCTAACTAACTCAGTTTTATAAGGCAAAGCCAATCAGGACTAAAGTAACATTCACCCACACTTCAGAGACAAAACAACCCAGAATAACGCCCTCCTCATGCCACTTAAGGTAGTAGTCTGGCCACAGGGACAGTGGCTGCTGCCCAGTGCTGTGCAGGACCGAGGGGAGACATGAGCTGAGAAGACAGCCTATCCCAAAATTTGAATAAAGAACATTACTCAGCTTAACAATTAAACTGAGAGAAAAACACTAAGATTCTTTCAGAAAAATTTTATTTCTTCTTTCATAAATTCATTTAAAATATGCATTGCTTTTCAAAAAGAAATAAACCAAAGAAATATCATTTCTCTGTGCTCACTTGTTTGCATTTCTTCTTTCATTTCCCTATGTTCAACCCTTCCCTGCCACTGACTTTATCACTGCCACTGACTTTATCACTGCCACTCCCTCTCATTTTTCTACTTTCTTAAATTTAGTGCACAAATCTTTCACATTCAAATTCACCTCCACACAACCTCTTGCTTCTGGCCAACGCTCTCACTTTTTAATTGCATTTAATTCTTTCAAGAACCTCTCCCTACCACCCCACCTTTTTCTGATAAACAAGAAGCGTCTCTTACGATGGTAAGGCATCTTTGATCTTCATGTGGGAAATGTCATTGTAGAGGGCAATGGAAACCACCTCTTCCATGGGGCAAATGAGGCCGTACTCCTCACACCCATTTTCAATGACCAGGGGGTCGGACTTGTGAGGGTCAAACATGATGTTGTTAGGAGTGACGATCATGACACCACCGACCACACCCTGTTAGACAAATGGACAGGACAGAATTACTACAGGCAGGAAGCAACCACTGCAGGAGCTTTAATGAATTCATGTGTCATTCTGCTGATTTTGGTGAACCACAGTATCCTACATGACAATCACATCCTCTTTAAGAAGGTTGGAAAAACAGGCTGAAGAAATGCAGTGTCGAGTGCTGTGTGGTGAGGCAGGGAAGACAGACTGGACTCCCTGTGGCCATCAACCATGCCCGGTTCTAGCATTGCTACTACAAAAGTGTAACTGTGCTGGGATCTTGCGTTACACATAGAAGTCTCAGATTCCCCAATTCCTGTCTGTAAAATGAGAGGGCTGTCCCAGATGCTTTCCCAATTGAGAACCAGGTGTTTACAATTCACTCAGTACATATCCACCACGTGTCCGGCAAAGGTATGGGACTCTGCAAAGATAGCAGCTGTCTCCAAGTCATGGTGCCAAAGAACAGTCCTCACATTTCTCTCTAAAACGTTTAGAGAGCCTACATCTGGGAAAATTCGACACAAACAGGAATATAAAATTTTTGCAGAAGTGAAGATAGCTGAACTATGGAAATTAAAAGCAAAACCCAGCAGTTTGGAAGGAACTTAAAAGTTTAAAGCGCGGCCAGTTTATAGTACAGATCTTGGTGGCCCCAAGCATATTATCTGCCAGACAGCACAGGATACAGATGGCCCCATTTAGGTCAATACTTCACTGTGTACTCTGAATGACTTCAGTGATAACTTGTGTAGAAATGTTTGCATCTCAAGCATTATTTGCTCTCGATTAAAAAATTATAAGTCAATCTCAATACTGCATTTTCCTTTTCTTTGGAAAATAAAGGATAGTACAGACTCGATGGCAAGTCTGTACTATCAGAACAGGAATTCACTCTATATCAACACAACCCCTTCTTCAGAGGGTCGCTAAAAGTTGGATTCGTTCTTTGTAAAAAACACCAACAACCAAAAAACTAAACACACAACAGCACACCACATTTTAATACCAGCATCTTTGGCAACAAAAGGGTTGAGAACACGCCATTTTCCAGGTTGCATACTCAGTTGTTTACATGAATTTTCCCTTTTAATTACAATACCCTACTAGTTAACTTTTATTACTGTTCCTATGTTACAGATGAGGAAAATGGAAGCTTAGGGAATTTCAATACCTTGTCCATGGCCTCAGAGCTAATGCATGCCAGAGTTGGAATTTAAATTCAGCAAGTCTGACTCCAGCATTTGTGTTAAACATATACTATGCTGTCTCCCTAATAATTTGTAGGCCAAGAACTAAAAATGATAAATCTAGGGTAAAAAAAAAAGCATTTTTCTACTCAATGATCACATTCCCCTCAATAAGTAAAGTGCCAAGCATTCAACTGCGGAAAATTAATGGGCACTTGGGAAATCTTATGCTGAAACTTTGGGGAAGTGAATTCAATATAGACTGCTTTCAGTAATTTGAAACCTGCTTTAGTTTTCCATAGATTCCAAGACCAGGAAACAAAGTACACTGCCATAATACCTTTCCATCAGTGAAGTATCGACAATTCATTTTTAAAAATTTCACCACGCCCGGCTCATCTTCCTCAGAAGTAGATGACAGGACTCTTTCAATGGGTTTTATGGCATTTCTTGCTAAGTCAGCATCCTTTAAAAAGTAAAAATTTCCCAAATCAAATGGAAGCAATTTTTTAAAACATTATTTATATAAATCAAGCCACATAATTCCCTGTAAACCCATTTCTATTTATCTTAAACATAAATAAGACAAATGCCTTTTGTCATTCAAAAATATGACATATATAAAAATAAGTACCTAAATCAAAGCGAAATTTTTTAAAGAATGCATACGTATTAACCCCCCAAAATGGGTGGCTCATCCAATGTCTTTGGAAAATAATCTAAAGAAATGAATTCACATTTGACTCATGGTTCAACTTCTTTAGAAAAAGGAATAAAAGTAGTACAAATAAACTATCAGTCTCGGTGAGAGTTTAACTTCATACTTTTATATAAACAGGGCATGTTTCTTTGGCTTTGAGACCTTAAAGGTAAACAGGTTTCTTTTGGATAAAATATATTTTCTCAGCTAACAACAAATTACACTTAACCCTGCTCCTTTGGGGAGAATTTAATATGAAATCCTGTGAAAAAGAACATGTAGAATTCTGTAACAATATACTCTATAAGTTCATATGTAAATATAAACTACAGTACATAAAGGACATACATACAGGGAGTTTATCATATTCTGCATCTGATGATGAAGGGGAGACAGTAGCACCAAGACTGGATGATGATAATCTTAAGGTACTAGAAGGAAAGTTGGCATCGGGCACAAAAAGTACCTGAGAATGGGGGAAAAAAAAAAGAGGTGAGTACCAAGAATCAGGCAAACCTCAGTTTAGAGCAGTTCTCTCCACACAGCATCATTTAGGTGCATGACTCAGACCTAGCTGGACTCATAAGCAACTTGAGGACTTCTAGACTAATCCACGAAACAATATGCAGTAATCCAATCATGTGCAGTGCAAAGGGTACCAAACACACCTGTAGACACTGCAGAAGCTCACAAAGGTGAGTATTCTACACAGGCCATGTGAAGCAGGTGGGTCTAATGAAGGCTTGAGCAGTACACTATACAGCATTTGGATGGGGGAAGAGAGGAGAGAGACGCATGGCATGCTTCTAAATATAACAACTGTGTCAGGGAGAAATGAAACAAATCCAGGTTTGCTGACTCTAAGCAGGCCCTGAGTGAGAATGTAGTAAGCTCCTTATATGATAAAGTATACAATGTAATATCAATAATCTAAATACTTTCTCTTCCATCACTGTCTGGGTTTCCTAAACAACAACAAAACCCTAAAAATCCCCAAAGATATTACAAAATAGCCTCCTTCTGCAAAATGTTCTAGGTCTTGAAATATTATTATGATCTTGCTATTCACACTCTTAATGAAACATGCTACCTTTTAGCATATATCAAATACAATCATATAATCTTAAAATGGTGACCTCTAGTGTTATGAAACAATTCAGAGTTAATAATATAATATCTATTCGATACTGTTATTCACTCTCTCCCACCCCTCCAATGTTTTTATATTTTATTATGCTTTTACAGTTCTCCCATTTTTTTCCCTTTGTCTCCCTCCACCCTGTACCCCTCTTCCCTTTAGCAATCCCCCCTTATTTCATGGCCATGGGTCATGCATGTAGATTCTTTGGCTTTTTCCTTTCCTATACTACTTTTAATATCATCCTATTTATTGTGTTCCTAGAAACTATGCTGCTTTTTTTTAAGATTTATTTATTTTAAGAGAGATATTCATGTGTGAGAAATAAATTGATTAGTTGCCTCTCTCACACTCCCAACTGGGGACCCAGCTTGCAACCCAGGCACTTGCCCTGCCTAGGAATCAAACCAGCGGGCCTTCGGTTTGCAGGCCAGCACTCCATCCAGTGAGTCACACCAGCCAGGGCTATGATGCTTGATCCCTGCACCATTTCCCCCTGTCTGTCCCTTCCCCGTCCCAGCTGACAACACTCCCAATGACCCCCATAAATATGATCTTTTCCTGTTCTGGTTGTTCGCTTAGTTTGTTTTTATTGTTTATATTCAGTTGTTGGTAGTTGTTAAATTATAATTTTAATGTTCATAGTTTTGATCTTCTTTTTAAAAAATAAGTCCCTTATAACATTTCATGTAATAATAGCTTGATGATGATGAACTCCTTTACCTTGTCTGGGAAGCACTTTATCTGCCCTTCCATTCTAAATGACAGCTTTGCTGGATAGATCAGTCTTGGCTGTGGGTCCTTGCTTTTCAGCACTGTGAATACTTCTTGCCAGCCTCTTCTTGCCTGCAAGGTTTCTTTTGAGAAATAAGCTATAGTCTTATGGAAACTCCTTTGGAGCTAACACTCTGCTTTTCTCTTGTTGCTTGTAAGATTCTCTCTTTATCTTTAACCTTTGGCATTTTAATTATGATGTGTCTTGGAGTGGTCCTCTTTGGGTCCAACTTGATTGGGACTCTCTGTGCTTCCAAGACTTGCATGTCTATTTTCTTTACCAAATTAGGGAAGTTTTCTTTCATTATTTTTTCAAACAGATTTCCAATTTCTTGCTCTTTATCTTCTCCTTCTGGCACCCCTGAGATATGAAAGTTGGAATGCTTGAAGTTGTCCCAAAGGCTGCATATACTACCCTCATTTTTTAAAATTCTTTTTTCCTCTTGTTGTTCTGACTCGCTTTTTTGCTTCCTTATGTCGCAAATCATTGATTTGATTCTCAGTTTCATCCACTCTACTGTTGTTTCCCTGTAAATTGTTCTTGACTTCAATCAGTGTGTCCTTCATTTCTGACTGGATCTTTTTTATGCTGTTGAGGCTCTCACTAAGTTCCTTGAGCATCCTTATAACCAGTGTTCTAAACTCTGCATCTGATAGATTGCTTATCTCCAGTTCTTTTGCTGGAGTTTTGATCTGTCCTTTCATTTGGGCCATAGTTCTTTGTCTCCTCATTTTGGCAGCCTCCCTGTGCTCCCAAGCCATGGCTCTTACCTGTGCTTTTGACCAACTGGCTATAGACCGGAGGTTCCAACAACCCCCTCCAACTCAGAATGCCAACTGTAAGTCCAGGTTGTCTCCTATACTTCTGAGCAACTGTCTATAAATCACAGGTTACCATAATCCCACCTTGGGTTCGATTAATTTGCTAGAACAGCTCACAGAACTCAGAGAATCATGTTACTTACTAGGTCACTGGTTTATTATAAAAGGATACAACTTGGGAACAGCCACATGAAAGAGATGCACAGGGCAAAGCATGGAGAAAGGGCAGGGAGCTTCATGCTCTCTCCAGGATCGCCACTCTCTCGGAATCTCCATGTGTTCCCCAACCTGGAAGCTCTCCTAACCTGTCATCCAGAGCTTTTATGGAGGCTTTATTACATAGTCATTTACCATTAACTAGATCACTGGCCACTGGTGATGGATTCAATCTCCAGTACTTCTCCCCTCCCTGTAGGTGTGGGTGAGGGTGTGTGTGTGGGGAGTGTGTGGGGGGGGAGGGACAACCAACTGAAAGTTCCAACACTCTAATAACAGTGTTGTCTCCTGGCAACCAGCTGTCACCCCTAGGTGCTTTGCAAAAGACACCTCATTTGCAAAACAAAAGACACCTTTATCAGTCTCAACACTTGGAAAGTTCCAAGGGTTTCAGGATCTATGAGTCAGGAATTGTGGGAGACCAGATAAAGGGTTGGGCAAAAGTAGGTTAATAATACTAATAAATAATAACAATACAATAATTAATGAATAAATAGTAATACCAGAGTCAACTCTGTTGTGCATACTCACAACTGTAAGTCTACTTTTGCCCAGCTCTGTCTATATGAGAAATATGTTTTGGCCATTCTTATAAATCATGTTAATGTATACATTATGCAGTAATTTTCCTAGAGTTGAAAATTTATTAATTTTTTTCAAAGTTTTAATGCATATTTGTTCTTGACTACGTGGTACTGGCAGTATCCTAATTTCTCCTTTTGATAAGCATACAAACACCAAAAGCATAACAGTACAAACTGGCCAATCATGGCCTGTTGGCTTCATGTGCTTCCCATGGAAAAAAAGTAAAGAACAATATCACCATTGCCAGAATGAAGTTATACTTAAAAGTAGCTGTATCTATCGTGAAACACGGAGATGTGGGAAGATGCTCTAGTAAGTCAGCAATGAAACTAGATGTGCTCATAGCAACCAAGCAGGCCTGTGGATGGGAATGAAAATTTGGCCTCAGCTCAGATGCACCAATGACGGGGTTATTTACATTTAATGTCTAAATGTAGTTTTCAAAGAGAAAGACAAGAATATCTTATCATGTAGCAAATAATAAAAATTTTCGCTGGATTAATCAAGAGTGGCAAAATTGTACAATTTGCAATTCTTTCAGTTTAACAAGAGTACTAAGATCCTCAGGAAAATCTCTGTGGCCTTTCCTTGATGGTCCTGCTGAATAACTCTGCCTTTGGCTGAATTGAGTAATTTTGTCAAAATGGCATCAAGACAAAAATGACAAAAAATTTCTGCCTAATTTAATGTTAAAAAATGGCTATAATATACCCCAGGAGTGGACTACTCTAAAGCTTACAATTCTAAATTAAACATTCTAAGAATATCTGTGTGAAATTCTACAGGGAAAATGGTCATATTAATTTTACTTTTCTTGATGCCCTAGAAAATACTTTAACACAAATTAATAATAGTTCAGTAAACTGTGTTAATCATTTGCAAAGCATTCATCCCTGAACAGTTCATAAGTACCAGATGCTGTTAGAATTCTTGGACCCAAAGGAGAGGAAAGACTGAACCAATGCACATTATCATCGATGATAATTTTGTGACACTAATAATGAGGCATTAAAAGTGGCAATAAAAGATAAATGTACAATTTATAAAGTAATATGCAACAAGAAAATCATTACCTGGCCTGGAACAATAGTATGTGTGAAAAGTTTATTTAGTTCCACTAATTTATTGGGAGTGATGTTAAACTTCAGTGCTATGGAGTTTAGAGTGTCCTGGCTTCCAGCCTAGAAATAATCCAACAAACAAGATTCAATATATAAGGCAAAGCAAAGCAAAACAAAATGAATTCCTTTTGATAGATGACATTAATCTATTTGTGATAAGAATGAATAAAAAAGCAATACATCTAGATGTATTATGAAAAAGAGTGAATACGTTCTCAACTTTTAAGGGAAAAAGTATTAAAGGTTATTCATTTCCTGGGCTCCTTTATCTTCTATTTCACTGTTCACTAATACATTTCTAAACTCACTTGGGCACAGCTTTGGTATGTGGAGTAGAGGTCCATGAGGCGTAATACAAAACTGTAATAAGCAGAAAGAAATAAAACATACACACAGTCCCATGCACGGGGGAGATGAGACTACTGCCCTCCTTTCTCTGCACTTTTCTGTCCATATGCCTGTCTCTTCAGTGCATGAGAGACCACTGGGTAGCGACTTGTTAATGGCCATGTCCCCCACAGTGCCTGACACACTGAAGGCACTCAAAGGTCTGATGAATGAATACAGTCAAAAGCTGAAAGAAATCTAGGTTAGCTACCAATAATTGTTCACTGTCATTAAAAATGACAACTTCTTTTCGAGGAAGGGGAGGGGGCACTGGATGAAAGATGGTGAAGGGATCAGCTAAAGAACGTATATGCATAACCCACAGACACAGACATCAGTGCGGTGATGGCTGAGGGAAGCAGAGGCAAGGGCTCGGCAGAGGTAGGGGGGATGGGACATCTGTAATATTGTCAACAATATCAAAATAAAATGAAATGAAAAAAATAATAAATCACAGTAATGACAATGACAACTTCCTGTGGTCAGCCAAATTGGTGTTATTCCATGAATCTATAAAACTTGTGATCTATGTTGTATGTATACATGTTTCTTTTCTCTCTGAGAGTGAGCAGAAGTAAAGAGGGCAGTGAGAAGATGGGAAATGTCATAGTAAAAAAAGGTCCTCCCAAATAGAAGTAGGATGCCTCCGGTCAGGTCCACATCCCAGGAGAGACTTCCTGGCCGGGATCACTGAAGGGAACTTGTTAGTGGGAGGTCACATCGGTGAACATTACTGAGAGTTCCCATCAACAGCCCACAGTCAGGACTGGTGGCTGTCCCGATAAACAGAACTATCTCCACGAGGCGAGCCTTGAATGAGATGATGTGAGATGGCTGCAGGAGACTCACCACTCATGGCCCTCAGTGTCATAACCCCACCTACTAGATGAACTGTCTCAGGCTGACCAAGTTCATAGGTATAGATTACACTAAAATTACTGCAGAGCATTCCTAGAAGTTAGGATATAAATACATATTTTCAAAAATCATTGAAAACTTAACAATATGTGCTCCAACCTCTACCCTAGGCAACATTATCTACTAAAATGAAAACAAAAATTTTAAATATATTTTTCTAATATTATTTAGAAAAGGACACATGGACAATAATAACAAGGGGGGGTAGAAATGGGAGGGAGGTGGGGAGAGCTAGGGAGTGGGCTGGGATGGGGGTAAAAGGCAGAAAACTGTACTTGGACAACAATTAAAATAAATAAATAAATAAATCTCTAAACTGGCATTGCACAATGAATTAAAATGTGAGCTACAAAAAAATATTATTTACATAATACAGCATAGGCAAAAGTAGGTTTACAGTTGAAAATGAAACAGATTATCTTTGTATTATTATTTAGTAATTATTGTTTTATTGATTTGTAGTACAACTGTAAACCTACCTTTGCCCACTCCAATATATTCAAATCCAGGGATTTTCAGAATTTAGAGTCAGTACAAGACAGAGATTGAGAATACAGACTAGAGCCAGGCGTTGGCTCTGAATGCCAGATCTTCCACTTGCTAGCTGTGTGACCTTGGGGCATCTGCTCAACCTCTCTGGGTCTCAGTTTCTTCACCCACCAAATAGAAATAATCATAATTTCTGCTTGACAGCACTTACTTCATGGTAAGTGATCCATAAATTCGCTTCATATTCTTATTTAAAAACTTGTAGAAGATATTGTGTATACAGAGTTAAGGAAAGGAGAAATTTTATCAATCTACAGTTATGACATGAGGATAAGACATACATAGAGAACCAAGACACAGACCCTGGGAGGGATTCTGATATCACTAAATGTTTGAAACTTATCAGGGTGCTTGACTATCTGCAGCTCAGGAGCAATATAAGCAATCTCATAAGAGCTAGCATGGTTCTCCAAACACGAAGTTATGAATCACTTTTTATTTCTAATAAAGTACACAAAATAACTTTCCTAGTAAAACTAATCTCCTTAACATATATCAAACAGGTGGGCATTTCTGCATTACTAATTTTACCACCTGCAGATATGAATTAATTTGGGAGTTGATTTTTACTCTCACTGCATTGTTTAGTATGTGCTATGTGAAACATCTCCTAGCAAACAACACTTCTCATATCTTTGGTGGGGCATGTGGGTGCACAAATGGCTTTAGACTATCATCATTAATAACAAATATTCTAACACTTCATGAGTACCTACTATGAGGTAAGGCACTGTGCTAGGTGTTACAGGATTGACAACATATTATAGTAACAGTGATAATGAGAGATATATGAGGGGAGACCCCCCAAAAACTAGAAATATCTCCTGGAGGGCGGGCCCCTTGTAGTACAGGCTTCTCTGCTAGGTAAGTGTTCTAGGAACTCATCTGTATCAGTGTGCCAGCTGGTGTTGTGAGAGGCTGAGTTCAGCTTCTGTGAATTTTTTTTAAGACTCTTTCAACCCATTTGTCCATTTCATGATGGGTGATTTACTAGTGCGCCTGCCCACAACACACTTGAATGTTCAGCAGTTTTTGACCAAAATGGTATGATCCCCATACCCTACCCTTCCAATTCACCTGATCTCACCCTGAGCAACTTTTTTTTATATCTCTGAATGAAAAAAAGTCCTCATAGAGAATTATTTTGCCAATGTGGAAGAGGTGAAACAAAAAACAGCAGAAGCACTAAAAGGCTTCAAAATCAATGAGCTCAAAAACTGTTTTGAGCTGTGGAAAAAATGCCTTGATAGGTGTACTGCATCAAATGGAGAATATTTTGAAGGCGACTGAAATTTAAACATGTAAGAATATATAATTTTTATATTGTATATTTACAAATAAATTTATAATATTTATAAATAAATAAATTCCAAGTTTTGGGGATCCCCCTTCATATTATCACCCAAAACCCTTTCCATAAAGGACTAGGCCTACACACCACAGAAAGATGTTTAGAGATGCTCGCGGAGCACTGGGTAAGACATGCCTGTGCAAGGGATGTCCTTCCCTATGACCCTACAGAGGCCGGGAGCAGATGGGCCGCTCCAAAAGAACCACCAGGGAGGGAGCAGGTCTTGCTGCTCACCTTATACAGGGCCTGGTGTGCACACAGACAACCAGTGGAAGTAAATATACATGAGGAGGACACAACTGGGCAATGGCAACAACACTTAATTTCTTCTTAGAAGTCAGAACATTCCTCAACAATGCTATTTCAATGTGAATTAAAACAGATCTACAACGGAGTGGCCCACATTATGCCCAGCCTAGGATAAACAGACACAGCTCCTGGCTTCAGGGGCTCCTGGTGCAGTAAGAGTGACGAGCATATGCCCCATACCATGGACGTGCAGTAATGAACACCAGCACAGCATTATTCACCTGCTGACTCAACAATACAAGTCTGCACCCTGCAAGCACCAGCAACGCAATGGTGGCCCCACAAGGGTCAAAGTCTATTCATGGAAATATGAATTAAGGCACAAGATAGACATTAAAATAATACTCACACTAGTGAATCAATTTTAAACAGACAAATTATGTAAAGGAACGTGATTCTATGAGAGAATAAAATGAAGGGTGATCTAGCCTGGACAGCTGGATGACTGATACAAAAGGTAAGGGCAAACATAGAGAGTAATAGGAAGATGTTGGGGACAGATTCTGGCTTGTACAATGGTATGAGTGATGGAGCCGTTGCTTCTTTAAAAGAGACCAAGCATGAAGGTCTAAGTACAAATGTTGAGAAGTCAATTGAATCTATGGTTCTGGAACTCAGAAAGCACGTCAGGAATGGAGACCTAAAATTGGCATATCACAGGTAATTCAAACCACAGGCTTACGTGAGATGGCCTGGGGGGAAATATGGAGGGAAGAGAATGACTTAGGACAGGTAGGTCTTAAGGAGCTTCACTGATTATGGGGTACAGAAGAGGAAAACAGCTAAGGGGCAGCCAGTGTCAGGAGAAACATCATGTAAATCTAGTAGTGTTAATGTACATTCATACTTCCTGTTTATACTTACAGTATATTCCACAGTACCGTGGGGCTTCTGAACCACCATCTTCTTCTCTTTTTTATCATGCGTTTTGTTTTGATTGTCCTCTGAAAAATAAAAGTGTATGTAAATGAATAATTTAATTTTAGGAATTGAGGATAGAGTAATCTACAGTATATTAAAACCTACTTTCAAATGGACTATGAAAAAAGACACCAAAATAAAATGGACTAAGAGCATAAATAGGCCCTGATTTTAAAAAAAAAACATTATTCATCAAAGAACACTTGAATAAATGATTGTTAACTGTAATAAAATAGTACAAATAATACTGAGGCAATATTGTGTTATTAAAGTAACAGTTTAAATGATGATATTTAATGATGAAGTTGAGTAAAACTACTATAGTCATCATATAAATGATATAAGTACATCCCTTTTAGAAAATGATTTAACATAACAAAATGTCCATTCTTTGACATTCCTTCCTTAGAAATTCATCCTAAGAAAAAATTCAAAAGAGGAAAAATATGTCACAGTATATGGTTACTGCTGTTTTTATAGATCAAAACTGGTCAACCTAACAGTTTTGGCAGCTGCATATGATTCAGCCTAAATGTTCTGATTAAGTACATCTTAATATAATCATTCCAGATGCTGAAAACCTGAGAGACATATTGCAATGGATAAAAATTTAAGTGAAAAAATATAAAATTGAATTAACTATGAAAAGATGCTCTAACTTGTATGTAATCAGAAAAATGCAAATTAAGGTGAGGTATCATTTTACACCTATTAGCATGGCAAAAATCAGAAAGCTGGATAACTCTAGCAGTTATTCACAGAGATGTGAATTACTACTAGGAATATAAACTGCTACAGCCAATCCAGCAAATCAAGTATATATAGCTTGTATGACTCAACATTCTAACTCAGATATATATCCTCTCCCAAAAAGTCTACGCTTTATGTCTATCATAAAGTCACCTGCTTGAGGGTGTCCCAACCAGCATCACTTGTGGCATGAGAGCTGAAGGGTAAGAAATTTGGTAGGTGTGCTCTAGAACTAGGCAGTAATCAGAAATAACAAGCCCGAAGTATACACCGCAACATGTTTACACCAAGAGAAACAGAATGGGATATACAGAATAGTATCATCATGTATATGCAAAGAAGATGCACACAAAACAACTACACACATTTTTCAGGTCACATCAAAATAAAAGTCTCTACACACTGAATACAACAGAATGGTGTGGGGTGGAGAGAGAAATGGGAGTGGGGATGAGGATAAAAGGGAATTAATGAATAAATAACAAGGAGCCCAACTCAGACCAGGGATGGCATTCCATGAACTGAGAAGAATGATTAACTCAGCCCCCTACAACTGAGGCTCCACCGACCCCCACGCCAATCACCTACATGACAAACAGGGGTGCACTGGATGAAAACGGGAAGGTAATACAAAAACATGAAACCAGTTAATTCACATGAGGGTTATCTGCCTTTTAAATGTTTCCTTCATGTTAAAATTAAAAATCAAGAAAGAAGTAATAGATGCTGCTATTAGAGTCCTTTACTACTCATCTGTATGTTCAATGATATCCATTTATAGAACCAAAGAGACTGCAAAAATCCCTCTAGATGGTAAAAAATGACCTGCCTACCCTCGTGTGGTTTACTTCAGAAAGATGACTGTGGTTTTTAGATCTTCAGACCTCCCCATTCTGTAGGTCGGGAGGGTCTACAGCCTATTCAATACCCCAGATCAGAGGGATCTAAATGATCACTCCTTTTAATTCCTCAGCTGCACTCGCCATGTTCCACACTCCTTTCTTGCTCACTGTCACCCTCACTTCCAGTCTTCTTGCTTTCAGAAGAGTCTCTTCATATGCTTTTGTAGGTGCTTCCTATTTCTAGCACCTAAGCTTACTCTTCCACCTGTGGCAGCTTCTCCCGTATGCCCTTTTATAGGCTGCGCATAATTATGTCCGGTCCCAATGGGAGCACTACTTTAAGCCACCAAAATACGAGAGTTTTCATACTGCTCAGCTGCAGAAGAAAAAGAAGTGTTAGCTGAACCTCCCAAAATAAACTTTAGCTATGTACATCTGAAGTAGTACAAAAATTATTTCACTTTGGCACAGGTGGGTAGGCCAGAAAAAGGTCAAACTTGGTAATATTACTAAAAGAAAAAATAAAACCCTTCCTTCCAGCACCTAAGATTTTGAAATTCTTGAGGTAAGGACCATGAGGTACCTTTAAATCTCTGGTGCCTTAATAAGATGCCCAGGATATATGCCTGAATAAACTTCCCAATATAAATCAATGAGCAGGACGAGTCCAATTGTGAGCAACATTTTCACTGATAGAATATCACACCAGGAAAATCATATGAATCAAAGCCACAAACAGAATACTATGTTTTACAGGTGACTTAATATACAAAGCAGAGAAGTAATTGACACAGCTAAGGACCAATTTCATTGTCTTCATATCATTATAGCAAAAGGTAAGGTTTCATATTGCTTCCTAAATATTTTTAAAAGATTTTTATTTATTTATTTTTAGCAAGAGGGGAAGGGAGGAAGAAGGAGAAGGAAAGAAACTTCAATGTGCGAGAGAAACATCAATCGGTTGGCCCTCGCATGCCCCCAACCAGGGACCTGGGCCACAACTCAGGCATGCGACCTGACTGGGAATCCAACCAGTGGCCTCTCGGTTTGTGGAACCATGCCCAACCCACTGGGCCACACCAGTCAGGGATCCTAAATATTTTTGCAGTAAATTTTAAAGAGAGCTAGCAATATGTCTCAATAAGTAAAGTCCTGTATACCTTACCTAGCCAGATTCTGCAGTCCACAGTCTACAAGGCACCAGGGAGAGCTGGGGAGACCCAACCTGTCTCAGGAAAGGGCTCCTCTGCTGAACTTCTGGATGGAGATCTTGTGTTTCAGATGAGGACCCATGATCACACCCCAAAAAGGAGCTGGAGAAGCCATGACTATCCCCCAGGATGGAACTAGGGGACCCATGCATGAGCACCCCTAGGATGGGACTAGAGGACCCTTGAGCACCCCCAGGATGGGACTAGAGGACCCTTGAGCACCCCCAGGATGGGACTAGAGGACCCATGACCATCCCCCAGGATGGAACTACAGGACCCATGACCACTCCCAGGAGGTAATTATTTCCCAATGACACATGTTGACACTTCTACTTCCAGCTTTAGGCCTCCTCAGGCCCTTTATACCTATTCAAATTCCAACCCTCCCCTGGCTTACAGGATGCTGAAGCAAATGATGTAAAAGTAGGTGCTGCCAGAGGGGAAAGTTGGCCGGGTTCCTCAGAAGCCACTCACAGCAAAGCAGCTGAACCTTCTACCTGCCCTACCTCTGAGAAGCCTTCAGTGCCAGTTTTTCTCAATCCAATAAGGAAGCAAGTCTTACGAAACTGACAAATACCTTGGAGGAATGAGATACAGACCCTTTAGCCTAGCCTGTTTCAATTCTCATAAATTCTGGAGGTGCAGGCTAAAGCGGGTGCCTTTGTTGGCCTCACAACCCGGGGGGGTCTGGTGCCCTGCCCACAAGTCCTGCCTCCTCCCTTTCCACCCAGAAGAGGGCCAAGAACACAAGGTTCTTAGCTCCTGCACCTGAGTCCTAGGTACAAGTTTCCTGAAATAAGACTTCTCTCTGTGCACTGGAGCTAAAAGAACTTCACGTTCAGGTATATTCTGGGGGTCTGGAGGGGCATGAAGGCTGGATTTGAAGAAATCCTTTGCGGTGGTTATCTTAAGAGAAGATCTGAGGTTTGAGACCCAAACGAAAGGAAGGCTTAGTTAGATGTGGGGAGTAAAAAGAAGTGTGGCTGATGGGGGTGGGGGTGGAATTAAAAGAAAGGAGAATGACTGTAATGTCACAGACACCCTGGAAAAAAGTTAAAGATTGTTCTGACCCTGTCAAATGCAGCAAAGAGGAGATGGAAACACAGAAATGGATAGCTGGGAGGTCACAGAGATTTCCTGAGGTCAGAAGTGTAGGGATGGTAATCCCATCAGTACAGTGAGGATATGGTCATTTGCTAAAATGTAATGCGGTAAAGACAGGATTGGGGGTGCATGAGGGGTTGTGTAATTTGGCAGAGTTACTAGGGCAAAGATAAGGTTTCAATGAGAATATTGAGAGAAGCAGCAATAAGGGTTCACCCAGGGGTTGGGTGTCAACACCAGGGTGACAGACTATGTAAGGAATAAGCAAACACCCTGCTGTCATGGCTAACTGTGTGGTTTATGACATGCAAGCTGGGCAGCTGTAGCTAGAGCAGTGGTGAGGGAGGGGCACTGAGATGCTGGTGTTAGAGAGAGTGGCATGATGCATTAGTTTCCTATTGCTAGTGTAACAACTTAGCACAAATTTAGTGAGCTCAAAATGAAAAATAAACACAAATTTATCATCTTAGTTCTGTAGGTTCCACGTCTGGCATGGGTCTCCCTGGGCTAAAATCACAGTGTCGGCAGGCAGTTCCCTCTTGAGGCTCCAGAGAAAGATCGCTTTCCTTTTCTAACTCCTAGAAGTAGGCTACCTTCCTTGGCTTGACATCCCTTCCTTTATCTGCAAAGTCAGTAACACCAAGCCAAGTCCTCTCACACAGCCATTTCTCCATTTCTCCCTCCTGCCACCCTCTTTCATTTTTCAGAACCCTATGTTTAGCCCTGGCCTGTGTGGCTTTGTTGGTTGGGCATCATCCAGCAAAGTAAATAGTTGCCGGTTCAATTCCCAGTCAGCGCACCTGCCTGGTTGTAGGTTCAGTCCTGGTCCCGGTCCCAGTCCCAGTCGGGGCATGGGCAGAAGGCAACTGATAGATGTTTCTCTCTCACTTTGATGTTTCTCACCCTCTCTTCCTCCCCCCTTTCCCCATTCACTAGAGTCAACAAAAGAAAAAAAAAACCCCTGTGTTTACATTGAGCACACCTGGGTAATCCAGGGTGCTCTCAATTCCATCTACAACCATTTGCCTTTGCTGGGTGACATAAGAGGTTCTGGAAATTAGGACATGTACATTTTTCCTTTTGGAAGGGTGGCATTATGCCACCTACCACAGAGGG